TATTTTTTCCTTAGCAACGGTTGCTAAGATTTTTATTTCTTTGCTAAGGATATTTTTTCCTTAGCAACGGTTGCTAAAAATATTTTTTCTTTGGAAACCGTTGCTAAGGATTTTTATTCCCTACCAACGGTTGCTAAGGGTATATTTTCCCTAGCAACGGTTGTTAAGAATATTTTTTCTTTAGAAACAGTTGCTAAGGATTTTTATTCTGTACCAACGGTTGCTAAGATTTTCTTTCCTTAGCAAAGGATATTTTTTTCTTAGCAACGGTTGCTAAAAATATTTTTTCTTTGGAAACGGTTGCTATAAGGATTTTTATTCCCTACCAACGGTTGCTAAGGATATTTTTTCCCTAGCAACGGTTGTTAAGAATATTTTTTCTTTGGCAACGATTGCTAAAAATTTTTATTTCATAGCTAAGGATATTTTTTCTTTAGCAACGGTTGCTAAAAATATTTTTTCTTTGGAAACGGTATTGTTAAGGATTTTTATTCCCTACCAACGGTTGCTAAGGATATTTTGTCTTTAGCAACGGTTGCTAAGATTTTCTTTCCTTAGCTAAGGATATTTTTTCCTTAGCAACGGTTGCTAAGGATTTTCTTTCCCTAGCAACCGTTGCTAAAGATGCCACGAAACCCTGCGTTTATGCGACTGTTTCTCTCATATTTTTTCTATTCTTTGTGACTAAAACATTCGGTTTCTTAAACAATAATTTCAATATTCATACACTAATTTTCATTATTCATTAAAATTAAAAATTATTTATTATTGTTAATAAATAATTAGTTTTCCTAATTTAATTCACATTTACAATGATTTACATTTTATTAACTATTTATTTCGATAAATTATTCATTTACACACTCTCAAATATATATATATATACATTAAACACTTATTTACCCAATGATTTAGAATTGAAAACAGAAATAAAAGCAATTAAATTATAAAGTAGGATAATAAAATAAGTTGATGTTAGTGAAATGTGTCAGTTAATGAAAATACCGCAAAAGAACAGTTGCGGTTTCAATATGGAACTAATATTAATAGGATAAAAGTTCGGTTCGGCACGTGTAGTTTCACTTGACGTTACGCGGAAGTCCGTCCCGCCTGCGATTTCGAGAAAAAGTTTATATATATTTATATATACATATATGTGTATATATATATATCTATCCATTCTATCAACTTCAGTGTTGGTAATTACCCGCAGCTATATGATACGAGAAAGGTTTTGAATTTTTATTTATTTATTTATTTTTTTTGTTCTATTTTTCAAAGAAGGAGACAAAAATGCAATATTGCCCTGCGACTGTGAAACAATTGATTCATGATTCCCGGATGTGACGGAATTGTTATTATAAAATTTAATAGAAAAAAAAAATTATTTATATCTATACGAGCAAACGGAACTGCGTATTAAATGATACGAATCCAAGTTGAGATTTCTAAATGTATATATATATATATATACTTGGTGAAACGATCTTGTAATCCATTGCGGACTCAAAACGATAACTATCACTGTGCTACCACCTTCTAACATTCGTAAATTTATTTGAAAAATTGTTCCATTTATTTTGATAAATAATTTTCGTATTAAAATAAATTTGAATGGAAAATAATAATTGTGTGTGAAAAAATAATTTTTAGAAAAAATAAAAATATAGTTTTGAAATATTTTTTGCAAAATTAATGTAAACTAATTTTTATATAAATACTGTGGCTGTAATTTATATTAGCTTTAGCTTTTAATAATCATAAGCTGAGGCATCTTCTAAGTTTAAGTTTTAAGCATTAATTATTGTCTTCAATGTTTTCAATTATATTGCTTCAATAATCATCATAATTAGCATCTTCAGTTTTATAATTATCATCTTTAATTCTTATTTATCGTTTTCAAAGTTAATTACCACCTTTGCAATGTAGATTGATTTTAAATTACGGGTTACAAGTTTTAATTGAGAGACTCCAATTTTCAATTATATTCAACTTTAATTGTAAGCTTGAATCGTTAATTACAGATTTTAATTTAAATTGTTCACGATATACATCGGTTTTCTTTTTTTCTTTTTTTTCAAAATTGTATATTTAAATTGTTCTCTATGTTATATAGAAATAAATGTTGGCAATTTTTTTTTAAAGAAAAATTTTTGTTATCAGTAAATGCGATTAATAATTATAATATTAGAATTAAATAACATTTTTTTTTCTTTCTTTAGTTATAATAACGTGTTGGTAAAATATCACCACGGTGTAATCTTTGTTATGGTGATCGCACATGTGTGTCACACCTCTTTAGATGACCTCGTGCCTTTGTGCGCCATAATAATACCGAGTCATATTTTCTACGAGAAAACAGAAGCAATTGTTGTCATATAATTTTATTTTTTTTTTTCCAAAGATCATCTTTTACGAGAAAATCATTGGTTAATTCTGTCTAATTCATTATGCAACAGAAGGAACTTTTACGCAGAATAGTCATCAAAGAATTTTAGTAAAAAAAAAAAAAATTTCTTTTATAATTTTTTTTTGGAAGAAAAAAAAATTGAAAAGATCGGGATTAACATCAGACTGGAATTTCATATATGTTTTCTATATTTATTATTTTATTTAAATTTAATCTTTTGTCCAAGATCTACTTTCATATTTTCAACGAAATATTTCCGAGGCTATAATAAAATCAACATTTCTTGTTTTCGACACCTCTTGACATGAATATCATGTTTGATTCGTATCATTTAAATTAATTGATATACAAAGAAATTCATATAATATATGAGAGGGCAAAAAAATAGAGAGAAATCAGAGATATAATTTTATCCGTAAATCTACAAGTGCAGTGACTTTTTGTTTCTTGTAACAGGTGTTACGTATCAAAAATCATCATCTTTTATCTCGATTCAATTATATCAGAAAATTAGAATTAAAAAACAAAAATTAAATCATTTTGCATTGTTATATTTAATTTTATACAAATTTTTAATATAACTGACAATATAGTTCTCATATCAGAGTGCTTTTAAAAATTTAATATTGCTCTCGTATATATCAAAAAGAGAAAATTAAAATAAGAATGTAAATAAGACGATTAAGCTTAAGATATATATCATATCGTTTCTTTCTTTCTTTTTTTTTTGTTTAATTTCATTGTTTCTGCGTGACAAGAGGTCAATTCGTTCCCGCAGGTCAATCGTGAAAATGCACCGTTTCTAATTAAAGTGATGGAGACAATGAGACTCGCAAAGTATAAGCACGAGACTTTTGCGCGGCTCCGGCTTCTCGATCGGACAACAAGAAACGTGAAAGTATCTTATTCTCGTATACATATACTTGAAAAATCGTGATAGCGCGTTCACGTAAGCCCTCAAATACATTTGGATGTCAATTAAAATCGCGAAATTCGTTATACAAGTAGTAACAACAACGTTTATATATATATATATATATATATACCTTTGTCTATGAGCTAGACTCTTTTCCCATAAGATTTTTTGCGTATTGATAAAATACCGATCAATATAAAATTATTCGCAATATTCTCTACATGGAAACAATGAATATTGTTTTCTTTATTCTGTAAATAAATTGATTGTGTCAATATAAGCGTGTACTTTTACCACTTTTTTTTTTCTTTTTAATCGATAAAAACAGAAAATTGAAGTTTCTTTAATTTAATAGAAAAAAAAGTATCGTAATTAATAATTTATTGATCAATTTTTTTTTATTATTCAATTTGAAGGAAATTTTTTTTTTACACTGAATTGAAATGAAAAATTGTTATAATTTTTAAAATTTACAATTTTAAAAAAACATTTCTCATTTTGATGCTAATTATTTATCATTCTATTGACGTGTATTATATAATAATATACATATTTATATAAAAAATATATTTCTTGGACATAATGATGATACATTTTGAAATATATGTTCGAAATCGCGTTTCGAATTTCTAAAAAAAAAAAAAAAAAAAACAGTTGCGATTTACGATGCGAAACTGGTTTATGATGTTTTACGGCTCGCACATTCTCTCATTTCTCCCACCTGATACCGCACTAAACTTTGGATGCTAACATTCTTTTTATTGTTTACCGCGGGCGCCATTTAAGAAATTTCGATCCGAAAAATTCGTTTCCCTAAAATATTAAAAAAAAATCCTGTAGGTAAAAGAAAAGAAAATAAAAAAAATATTCATAGCAAAAAAAAAAAATTGAGGAAAATTAATAATCTCATTAAAAATTATTGAATTTCTCTTAATGAAAATATTTCTCTCCGTCTAACATCCAGAGAAATGATATATTAGTCTCACAGTCGATAAATATTTAATTGATTCAAATAAATTTTTATTTGATTTAAATAAAAAAATTTATTTACACCAAATGGCTAGTAGGCTGTGAGACAAATATACGTTTATTTAACTCAAATATATTATATTTAGTTCAAATAAAACATTTATCTGAGTGAAAAATATTAGAAAGATTTATGTGTGAAGGAGATTTAAAGGAATATTTTTTAGTTTTCACTCTTCCATAGTATAGAATATATGCGCATAAAACTTTTGAGTATCCATCATTTTTTTTTTCTTTTTCTTTAGTGTGAATGGTTTTGCCATATAGAGGGCTATTAATTATATACACTTAAGATGTTTCCGGAATGATTTCTTCCTTCGTAATAATATCCACTTACAAGCTGTAACCGTCACTTCCGACACTTTATTATAAAGGCTTTCTGGGACATGTCGATTTGTCAGAGAACTGACAGTAAATTTACTTACAAAAAAAAAAAAGGGAAGAGAAAAATTTTTTTTTTGATCTTCATTTATGTCGAATCATTGTAACCGCGAGAAAGTGTGCGCGCTTTTTTAATATTAATATCAATTATTTATTTACAACAAATTTTTTTTTTTTGAATGAAATTTTTTAGTTTTGGAATAGCTTTGTAATTATGACATTTTTTTTATTTAATTTTTAATAAATTTTGTTTTATAATTATTACAGCTTGCTCTAGTCGCTTTTGTTCTGACCATTGGGGTCACAGTATTTGCTCAGGATTATAGCCAACTATTCGCTGGCTTTGGACCCTACCTTCGACTCTCTTCAGGAATGAGGGATCCAAGGTCAAACAGAGGTGAGTTTCAATTTTTCTTTTCTTTCGCAAAATATGTAACTATTTTTTTTTTATAAATTTTTATTATTATTATATTTAATGAATTCGAAAAAAATGATTTTACAATCAATTGGAATTAAATGAAATGAAAAAAAAAAAAAATGATCATTCGTCAAAAGTAGATCAATTTTGATTATCGTGAAACGTGCAGCACGAATTGCTACTAACCGCGTGGCACCTTGAGACGTTAATGTTGAGATATATATATACAATAAATGACAATGCAGAGACACAGAAATGAGAAAACGAATTTACCCACAGTTAGTAGAGGTTTTCAATAATATTTTTCCCCTCCCTCCCTCTCTCTCTTATTTCCTCACTCCACCCTCTCTCATTATAAAATGCTCGCGCAATATCGTGCGTGACTTCACTAAAGAACATTTATATTCATTTGTTATTGAATCATATATGTAAGCAACATCTCGCATAATCATAATATAAATTCCCAGGTTTATAATAGTTCACAAAAGGGTTTTGACTTCATCGCATTTATAATAAAGTTATATACACATATATATATAAATAATATGGCACGCGATAATTTTGACACAAATGCTATAGAAGTATACTTTCTAAAAATATTTCATCATATTTTTTTTTCTTGCTATTTATATGATCAAACGATGAGATTCTATTTTTTTCATGTAATTGTCATATTTTAATTTTTTTTTTTTCATTTGCACATTTAATGAAATAAATCATAAATTAAATTTCCAAATGTAAATTACTGCCTATTGTATTTCTTTTATCCTTTTACGAATCTTATTAATTTGATTGCAATTTTTTATAATTACACATTTATTAAGCATGTCGAATATAAGACAAAAGTACTGTGAAGTTTACTATATTGAAAATTTTTCTATATACTGTATTGTAAATTTTACTATACATTGTATTTTATAGCATAGTAAATTTCACTATACACTGTATTGTAATTTCTGCTATACACTGTATTGTAATTTCTGTTATACACTATATAATAACTTCTACCATATACTTTATTGTAGTTTTTACTATACATTGTACAATAAATTTTACTATACACTATATAGTAAATTTTATTATCCAATTTATTGTAAATGTATAGTAAATGTTATTATATACTGTATTGTAAATTTAACTATAAATTGTATAGTAATTTTTATTAGACAATTTATTGTAAATTTGACTGTACATTGCATTGTAAATTTTTGTAATTAATTAATTTTATATTGTAAATTATTATTTACAGTGTATATTTTTCATAAAAATATTGTAATAGATGCCAGACAATACAATGCGTAAAATAGACAATGTGAAAGAATTTGTTTAATGTATTAGTGGATTTATATGTGTGAGATTAAATTATAACGTTTTTCTTATAGTATATATATATATACGTTTGGCGAATTATTCTTACTTCAATTGCAAAACATAACAGTGGAGCGCTACCACTATAGTTTTGCAAGAATTAGGAACATAATATATAAAACAAACGCCGCGTGTTCTATGTTCAAATGCAATCATTTATCGCTTGTAATTTGCTCCCATGTATTATTAACAACAGTTGTTTTAGGATTAATTGATGTTTGTATACTTCCTGTGACTTTTACCTGTTAAATATATAAATCAAAGAAAATTACGAAATTTAATTTATCCCAAAATAAATTTTCAACTTTTTTTTTTTATTCTTTTTTAACTAAATTAATAATAATTTTAGAATATAAATAATAATTTTTATTATATTTAGTTTCTTTTGCAATTATTTACGCAACAAAAGGGAAGAAGAGATATTAAAATGTTTTATATATTTATCCTATATAATTCAGAAGCATATTTTGTATTATAATACTGATAAAATAGAATAAAACACATAAGGATTGGTTTCAACTTGCAAATATATAATATATATATATATAACGAAACAATTTTACCTTTTTCTCGCTCTACAAATGGCAAATCGTGACAACGTCATTACTCAACGAATCAAAATTGATTGTTCAGCCTTCATTTCAAATAATTATTATGACTATAACGATATAATTTAGCATTTAAATTCGAGTTCATTAAAAATTTTATATAGACAGAAAACATGTATAATATTTCGAATAAGGGGACGACTTTAATAAATTACAAGTAGAAAATGAAATTATTACCTTTCCTTTCACTATATATATATAGGTAGATATAAAGGTATAAAGGTAGATTATTGAAGAAGCGATAATTAATATCAATGATAAACTGATCAATTAGATAATAATCAATCGTTCATCACTTCAATTAAACTTAATCACAACTACTCCTCATAATTTACACTCTCAATTTTAAACAAATTAATTTTAAAAAGAAATTTTTTTCAAAATTTTTCAATTTCTGAAATAAAAATGATTAATTATCAAAAACTTACCTTAAAATGAGCCATTTCATCTGAAACAAAAATGAATGAATGGAATTAAAAAAAAACAGTTTTCATTATTATCACATATATAGTTAAAAAAAAAATAGGTGTTATATTTTGCATGCAACATTATTTCCTAACAACTTGGCACCTACCATAATGAGAAAATTAATGCAATAAATTCCTTGCGAAGAAGTTGTAAAACATTCATGTTTCTAGTTCAAGATCAAATGATTCAATGAATGGAGATTTCAATAATTGATTGAATCGCTGAAGATTCAATAGATATCGGGAATATGAATGTTGAAATCTATTTGTGGAAGAGATTGTTATTATTATTATATATAAAAAAAAATAGAGAATCCGACCTACGCATTAATAATAATAATATATGTGGCAATGACATAATTATATAGACGATAATATATATATATATATATATATATATATAATAATAATATAGAGAAGCAGAGCAAATATGTTACGTTTCAAGATTTTTGCTCTTGAACTTCCGACTACAGTTCCATTTTACGGTCTAATTATCATACAGAAAACACGTCACTTTAAAACCACGAAGAAATATTCTTATAAATTTTAAAACATATTTATTGCAATTAGATAAATTTATAAATTATGAGTACCAAGAAACTGGGGATATATAACAATAAATTCAACACTAAAAAAAATTTATTTCATCCAAATAAACGCTTAATCGAATACATATTTATTTGAACCAAATAATTTTTGTTTAAATTCAATAAAATTTCTGTATTTAAAACAAAATTTACTTGAGTCAAATAAAAATTATTTATCTCCAGAAAACATTTAATAATAGTCAAGTAATATCGAATAGTTGAATTAAAATAAATTTTTTTCTTTTCTAATGTTTAAAAATATTTTCTTGTAGAGAATATTGCCAAAATTTTGTATATATATTTCCAAATATCGGATTCTAAAAATAAAGAGGATTAATTTTTTATCATTTGAGAATTTATTTTCAATTTTTAGAAATTTTTTCGTTTTTTCCAAATAAAATGAACATTTAAAAAAAAACAGTTTTATAATAGGTCGATTAGTTGGTAATTACAATTGAGGGTAGTGTAAATTAATACTAATAGCATAGTACAACATACAATAGCGACGACAGGTTCAATTAATTATATAGTTACAACCATAATTGGTAGCATTAATTTAAAATCGATCTCGACCCTGGAATCACGCGAGCGTTTATTGATCATTGTGGATTAAGAACCATGAAGGACTGTTAAAAGACTGTTTTTTTTTTCGTTTCCCAATAGTCATGAAATTCCATAGATAATTATTATTCTAACGCGAAGCTCAAGTAGAAAAATCAATGTTACGTGCGACTCGCGGAGAGAAGTGGGGGGAATATATAAGGGATATAACCAGTTTCATTCGCTGTCGAACAAATTTTATTTCGTCACTCTCTCGCAAATATGTATAAGAATTCAACACGCCTAGCAAAATTACATGTAGGACTTTTATATAGTTTAGTCGATTACTTAATTAGATAGTTTATCCAATAAAAACGTGATCTTTGATATACAAATTCATTTTGACGTTGGAAATTTGTATTTTTTCATATATACCTTTTAACCCCATTTTTTATTCGACCAGGATTTTAAAATTTACATATATATATATTACTAATTCAATTTTATTTTCAATTAAATTGGTTTTAATTTAAAATTTATTCCAATTGGTTTAATTTAAATTTTATTTTAAATTTTATTAAATTAATAAAAATTAAATTGGGGTTTTTTTTCAGGTCCAGTTGTGTTTCCAGCGGGACCGGCATCGAATCCAGCGGAAACCAGTGGAGTGATAGTAGGTGCGAGCGGTTATGGATTTGTGCCACCAAACTCAGGTAAAGCAATAATTGGAAATCCAAAGCCCTGAGGAGCAACAATTTGGCAAAATTCGTGAAACTGTAAATAAAAAAAAAAATGGACAAGCAAGGCCCTCCTTTTTTTAAAAACTGAATGGCCTGCGCACACGCATCAGCACATATTTATGAAAAAAAAAAAATAAAACCTTCTTCTCACGCACATATGGACCCCATTTTCCTTCATATCTAACGTATCCTTATTTCGTTATTAAAAAAAAAAAAAATCCAATTTGTGTTCAATTTGAAACAAAATAACAATTTTTTTTCGTTTTTTTAATATAAAATTAAAAAAAAGGTGATTCTGGGTATATTGTAAATATAATATCGAATGAATGTTGTTATAAAATGGTTCAGAGGAAGCATGAATTTTTTTTTAGTCACTAATATTTAATTTATATATATATATATTAAATACAAAGATAATTTATATATAATATTAAAATGATGGTGAATGAGACAATTTCGAGTTGCTGGCAATTCGAAAAATTCTCCCTTTTTCCTTTCCTAATTGTTAATAAAAAATAATTTATAATATTGTACATGATTAATAAAAATTTACAAAAAAGTGTACAAAAATTTTAATGTTCTTTATAAATTAAACAAAAAAAAAAATGAATTTTGAGCAAAAAAAGTCCACTTTTGACGGATTAACAAAATTCGAGAAACATTTTTCAAGACGAAGGTCAGTGAAAGATTTTCGCAATTTATGTTGAACCTTGATTCTAGAAAGTCAAGCAGACAATATGCATTATACAATTGCATCTTTAATACAACTTCCTACTTTTTTTTCATTTTTTATTTTAAATCTTAATTTTTTAAATATAAATAAAAAATTTTCCAAATATTTTATTTGGTTTCTATCACGAATTTCTAGAAAATACAAGTTTCAAATATTACACGAAAAAGAAAAACACATTTCAAAATTAAAATCCTATGAATAAAAATGAATGTAAATAAAATAAGTTTTATAAAAAATATACAAGATTATACAAAAAAAAAAAAAATTAGGAAAAATAATTCAAAATTTATTGTCATATATACGAAATACAACAAATTGGAAATATATTTGAAAAATAAAATACAACTCATCCTCAATCCTTATTTTTTCCTTTGAATGAAAATGAGCATGATTTTTTTTTTTTTTTTTTTAGTGTAATAACTTTCGCGCCAAAATCGATACTCGACTTTTGCGTGAAACTTCTCAAGTGTAATAAGAGAAGTTGTAATTAACAAAAATGCATATAATTTAATGGATTTGTAAAATTAGCCTTATACTAACTGGAACAAACTAATATGGCGTGTGAAAACATTGATTCTATGGTGCACAAAATACTTGTTTTATATATAACTATATAAAATTTATAAACGAATCTCGTGGAATAGAGTAAAAAAAAAAAAACAACTTGATGAGATAAAAACAAAATGGTTTTTGTGGTAAGTTAAGTACTTGGTGAACGTAGCAAATGGACCGTAAAATTGATTAATTGGAGCATCCGTTCAATTTATTATTGGCTTATTATTTGGTCTTTTTGCTTCTAAACAGTAAAGGTGATGTTGACCTTCTCAATTATTATTGCTATTATTATTATTATTATTATTATTATTATTATTATTATTATTATTATTATTATTATTATTTTTCTTTAATATTATTACTATTATTAGTATTTCTATTAAGATTATTATTATTATTAATCGAAAAATGATACGACAAATATTTTTCATCTAATTCAAGTTTTATATTTATTACTAATTTCAACACATGACTGATTACTCGATATATACGCGAATTTATAATTAAACTTGTTTGCGCATTATTAAACTCTTACGACAGTTGAAGGTAAGTCAAAAGCGAAGGCTCAATAGAATTTGTGATTTTTTTTTTAATTTTTATATAAATTCTCCTTTTTTTTGAAAAAAAAAAATTCTTTAATTTTTGCTACGAGATTTTTTATTCAAATTTTTAAAATTAATTTAATTGAAAGATGTTCAAAAATTATTATCATCTGTTTTTAAAGAAAAAAAAAAATGAAATAAATTATTATGCCTGATGGTATAATGAGAAAAAGTAGAAAGAAAATTATTTTCTCTATTATGTCAAGAGCATATCAAAATTGCTTTATACTTGACCAATGAAAATTGGAGTTACCACTGTATTACTGATTTTCATGGACAATAATTTATTCAACGACCTTTTTGTTGAATTGCACAAATAATTTACAAAATATGATTCAGAGTGAATAAATATATAGTATTTCAAGATAAAAAAAAGGGAGACTTTTTTCATCTCATATATATATATATTTATGAGAAAGAGAGTGAGAGAGAAGTTTAATTTTCCAGATCAATAAAATTATAACCCTTGCTATGTGAATTGGATTTCCAATAATATATAATCATTCGACACTTTTATCAGCAATGATATTGAAAACTCTTTTTAGAAAGAGTCATTAAATTTTATGAGATCGCAATGAAATGCAATTATTATTTATATGCAATATATATATATTTTTTTTCATTCACTTTTGCATTTAAAATTTTTATTTAAAAATTGAAATTTTCGAGATAACAAAATTTAAAAAAAAAAATAAATAAATTTACTTTAAATAAAAATATAAAAATATAAGAGAAGGGTTTCGTGGCCAATATTAATATTACCGTTGCTAAGAAAACAAAAATCCTTAGCAACAGTTGGTAAGGAAAAAATGGTCATGGTAACGATTATCATGGAAACAGTTGTCATAGTAACGGTTGTCATGAAAACGGTTTTTATATGGTAACGGTTGCCATGGAAACGGTTGCTATAGTAACTGTTACCATAGCAACCGTATACGAGTGTATGACGGACGGACAGACGGACGCCAAAGCGAAACTATAAGGCTTTCGGGCCTGGGACATGAAATCCTAAAAACTATTTTGAAAAATATTCCATTTTTGAAAAATTTGTTTAAAACAATAATTTTTCCTTATTTGTATTCATATTTAAGGCAGTAAATATAATAGCAAAAAAAAACCCTGAAAGAAAAGAAATTCTGCAAAAAAAATAAAAATGAGATCAATTATTTAGAAGAAGGAAGGAAGTATTTCAAATCTTAATTTTAGAGAAAAAAAAAAGTGTGTCAAAGTTGTTGATAAATTTCCGGTGAGACGAATTAAAATCCTTGATCGATTAAAGATCCTTGATTTCTTAGAATATTGTAAATGAAATATATAAACATTTATGGGAAAAATTACCGCTATATATACGTATGTAGTGATGAGGAAATTAATTTCAATTCCCCAAAGGGGAAAACACATATTTGAAACTTCCGTCTTCCGAAAGCAATTAAGATGACAAGCAAGTTACTCATATATATATATATATATATATATAAGAAACAGGTGTCTACGTGTAAGATGAGAAGATTTAACCTTGATCCTTCAAGAAACATTTTGCCCCTGCCAATCTATATTCAGACTCATCTCTCTCTCACTCACTCTCTCTCTTTTCAGTGTACAGTGAAAGCGCACTCTCTTGTTTCGGAGGCCTCGGTTGTTCTTAAACTCGTTTACGCGTAACCTTCCTTATATACATTGCCTGGTCACGTAACACGTTACGAGGTCAGTCAAATGCGTGGCAAGGTTACGTTTTGATCTCTCTCTCTCTCTTTTTTTTATACACACGACAAACCATCTAAAGAACCTCAGGATCAACGATCTTCGAATGAACCAGTTCAAGTTCATCTCACTTAAAGCAACCTTTCAAAAGAATGAATTTTTTAATATATTTCTTGAACAACAAGTTTCATTTGATATTGAAAAATAAAAAATAATCTTATATTGAGAGGAAATTTTTTTTCCTCCACGAGTAAGAGGTTGATTCAAAACAAGATTATTTCACACAAGATTTTATTTTTAGATGAGAATAATTTGAATTGTTATCATAAATAATAATAGAAGAATAAGAGGAATCATCTGAAATTGAAATTACTTTATTTTGTCAAAATTGGTTTCTGTAGAAACGGTTACCATAGTAACGGTTGTTATAGAATTGGTTACCATAGCAACGGTTACTACGGAAAAGGCTACTATAGCAACAGTTTCTATGGAAACGGTTACTATAGCAACGGTTTCTATGGAAACGAATACTATAGCAACGGTTTCTATGGAAACGATTACTATAGCAACGGTACTATGAAAATGGTTACCATGGAAACGGATACCATAGCAACGGTTACTACGGAAAAAAATACCATAGCAACAGTTTATATGGAAACGATTACTATAGCAACGGTACTGTGAAAATGGTTAACATGGAAACGGATACCATAGCAACGGTAACTACGGAAATGGTTACCATAGCAACGGTACTGTGAAAATGGTTACCATGGAAACGGATACCATAGCAACGGTAACTACGGAAATGGTTACCATAGCAACGGTACTGTGAAAATGGTTACCATGGAAACGGATACCATAGCAACGGTAACTACGGAAATGGTTACCATAGCAACGGTACTATGGAAATGGTTACCATGGAAACGGATACCATAGCAACGGTACTGTGGAAATGGTTACCATGGAAACGGATACCATAGCAACGGTTACTTCGGAAAATAATACTATAGCAACAGTTTATATGGAAACGATTACTATAGCAACGGTACCGTGGAAATGGTTACCATGGAAACGGATACCATAGCAACAGTTTATATGGAAACAATTACTATAGCAACGGTACTGTGAAAATGGTTAACATGGAAGTGGATACCATAGCAACGGTAACTACGGAAATGGTTACCATAGCAACGGTACTGTGGAAATGGTTACCATGGAAACGGATACCATAGGAACGGTTACTACGGAAAATAATACTATAGCAACAGTTTATATGGAAACGATTACTATAGCAACGGTACCGTGGAAATGGTTTCCATGGAAACGGATACCATAGCAACGGTTACTACGGAAAAAAATACCATAGCAACAGTTTATATGGA